AAAGTCACTCTTCTGTCTGTACTCAGAAGTATGACTGACAGCCTTTACCATAATCGTGATTTTCAGTTGCTATCTTCCCAAATCTGGAGATCACAAAGGTGACACTGATTCCCAGCAAATAATATTTTGCAGATTGTTCTGCAACTGTTTTCAGATTTGCCCATCTTTATAATTACTCATTCACGTGAGACTGCAACATTTGCAAGGAGTAATTACTCCTACCAAAAAAACCCAACCAAACCAAAGCAACAACAACAAAAACAATGCAAACAAACAGAAAAAAAAAGAAAACCAACCAAACAACAACAACAACGAAATCCCACAAACAAGGAAGCAAACAAACAAAGCTAAAAAAACCACCCACTGTGAAGATCTTGAATTTATAAGGCTTTATTGATAGGTTAGTGACTTGTCTGTTTATATTAAAAGGTCCCCCATCAGCTTTGCTGTGCCTACCAGGCACAGCATCTTCCAGATGTTGTATTTATCCTTAATAAAACAATAGATTTGATTTCCCAGTTCACCACCTAGCTGCTCCACAAGAGAGGGGGTCAGTTTGACTCATAGAATTAGACCCTGAGCCCCATCTAAACCTGCTGGGAGTTTTCATTTTGTCAGTGTGGCATGATTTGAATGATTCCTCATATGTCGGGCTTTGAGACTTAAAGGGGACACAAAAACATGTGTCTATTACCAATTTATTTTCATGGAATCTGGCTTGCCTTCAGCTCAGTTTGGATTTGTTCCTTTCTTTCTTCTTGTTCTCTGTGGTCCTCACTGTCGGGATGATTTGCAGTTCCTTTATCCCATTCTGACCAGCATTTCCCCATCATCTGCCAGACACCTGAATCCCCCATGCAATGAACTCAGCTATTCAGAGCTGGAGGTAAACGGGTATGAAAGCCCAAAAGAGACCAAACCACCTGTGAGAAGTGTGGTGGGCAATGGGGAGCACAACCCAAAGCCGTCCTCTGGGCAGGGGCAGGGCAGGGAGCTGCAGCCACGGCAGCTGCATTGGTCCCTGCTGGGAATGAGGCATCCAGCTCAGCCACGGGGCCTGCCTGCCTCCCCCTTTCACTTTGCACCTTGTTTAACGGCCTTGCACTGCGTGCACTATGTACCTTTTTATAGGTGTCTTCTTCCACAAAGAAATTAGGGCTCTGTCTTGCTCTTCCCTGTCCTGTCGGCATAAAACTGATGGCAAAACCTCGGAGGGAAGAGGTGCTCTGAATAAACATGGTTCTTGGACCTATTTGTTTCTCCTGGGAGGTGACATGTGCACCTCCAGCAGGGACCAGGGAGGGACAAGACCTCTGAAGGGAAATCAAGCATTTTGGTTAGCAGAGCTGACAGTCCCCTGGGCTTGCTCTCTCAGTCCACTAAGAAAGCTGTCTGCTGGCTGAGAAGCCAGTCACCTAAGCCATGGCAAACATATTGGGAGGGAGCTGAGCTGGATGCCCATCCACTGGGCATCTGCACCCTCCCTGTTTCCCTCCTTCTAGGAAACTTAGCAAGTGGGAAACAGCAAGCAAGGGGAGCTGGACTACTCTCCTTGTCCCTCTTTATCCATCTGTGGATAAAAAGAGGCTAACAGGAGGGAAGCTGTCATCCGCTGTAGCTACAGATGGACATAAGAACCTCTGGGAGTGAGAGAGAAGTCACAGTGCCCTTTTCTCATACCCCCTCTAACACCAACCCTGTGGTAATGGGGTGAAACAGTCATGGAGGGGGAAGTAGGAGCAGTGGAAGTAGGTGCCATAGAACTGCTCAGGGCACTTTGTCTCCAGCTCCTCAGTAGCCAGCCTCACCTTTGAAAGTACCTTGAGTTTCTGCATATATCTCTGTGACCCCCAGGTGCAGATGAGAGCTGAACTGGAGAGGGATTGCACCCCTATGAATTTGCTAGAAAAGTTTCCCTTGGCAATGGTCCCCGTGGACAACCCTCCTTCCTTCTCCACTCAAGCTGTGAAACTCTCGGGACAGGGGGCTCATCCTGCTGGAGCAAACACACATCAACGAGGCAGCTCCAAGCCGGGGGAAGGAGCCATCTGGGAGACGTGTAGCTAAAAACAGGGATAGAACCCCCCAAGAAAAGTCTCACTGGAGATCACTCGGCATCACTGGATACGGTTGCGGTTTCTTTTGGAAATCTCTTCTCTGAAAATTGCTGTCTTTGCTTGCCCTCCCCGGGAGCGACTCCCGGTCCCTCCGCGGGAGGGGAAGATCAGCATGAGCAAATATTCGCTTCCTCACGCGCTTTCCTTTTTTCTGCCAGCGAAGTGCTGAGTGCTTTGTTCTGTGCTTTTACGAAGGATTTATCTCTACAGCTGTTTAGTGCACTGTAAATGACTCGGCTCCCCCGCCCTCCCTGCTCTTGCATGAGCCGGGGGCGGGGGGAAAATGCATTTTAAATGTTTTAAGCTGAGAAGCGGCATTTTTTTTTTCCCCTCAGGAGGTGTGTCTAGCACGCAGTGCTCTAAAGAGAGGAGCCGGTAATAACAGATGTTCTGTCAAACTTAAAAGGTGCCGCTTACCACGGAGTCACTGGATGCCATCAAGATGTATCTGCTGAGATTGATTAAGAGCCGAGCTCCGCGGGCTCAGGAAAGCAGCGCTGCTCACACGCGTGTCGGTGGGGGGAATCTCCGCTCTCCCCGGGCGGGCGCTGCAGGCACGGCACCCTGGAGGTGAGGGTCACCCGGCAGGGTTTTCAGCACTGGGCTTTATTTCTGTGGGAGATCACAGGGGGGGATGCTTGCGAGGAAGGGAGGTGCCCCCCGGCTCGGATGAGGTTTGCAGGGCGGGGGATGCCCCTCCAGCGGTCCGAGCTTTGCAGCCGTGAAGACCACACGGCGCTGAGCAGCGTGGCACTGGGGAGCCCCCTGCAGCTGGGTAGAGCCGCGCCGAGCCCCAGCCCCAGACTGGAGCTACATCCCGCCTTGGCTCCAGCAGCTCTGCTGAACATGGACCCTGACCCGACACCTCTGTCCTTCTTCTGCAGTGGAGGGAGAGAGAGAAGGAGGAAGGGGAGTCCCCAAGTCTGCCGTACACTGCCAGGGTCACCTCGGGACAGGGCCGCCACGCCCTCCCTGCTCCCCACTGAGGGAAAGGCTGACTCGTGCTCGCAGCGACTGAACTCTAATTAAATCTCCAGAAATCAACATGCTCAATCAAACGCTCGCGACCTCTCTAGGAGGGAAAAAGAAATAACAATAACAATAATAAGGGGAAGAGGAGGCGGGCGTTGTCACTTTGAGGCCGCTGATCATCCTGATTAATGAATGCTAAAGTATGTTAAGTGCCAAGGTCTCAGAGACAGCCCGTGGGAGGTGCAGGGGGCGGCCGGGGCTGAGGCTGAGGCTCCGTCTGGCAAAGGAAGGGGCACCCAGACTGCGGAGGTGGCTGTCCGCTGCCCTGGCATGGCTGCACCTGAGGCAGAGCGCTCCCACGGAGCCGCACACTGCTCATGGCATGCTTCCAACCTCCCGATACCGCATATCATCTGAGTTGCCGGGATAGCTGTCTCCTAATTCTACTGTGAAGTCCAGACAAAATTTTCTGTGAGGGCTAGGGAACCAAGAGGCAGAAGTCAGGTCTCAGCTGCCTTGATGCTCCCGAAGAGCTACAGGTGATCCAGCCCTTAAAAGTGCTTTCAAGTAGAGAAACACAGCCTCGTGTAACACTGAAGCAGAAGTGCACGCAAAATTCGGAGCTGCCCACCTCCAAATTAGCTGATAGTAAGGGACCTAAAAGATCACCTAGTTCCAATCCCCCCACCATGAGCAGGGACATTCTCCACTAGACCAGGTTGCTCAAAGCCCCATCCAGCCTAGCCTTGAACACTTTCAGGCAGTATCCTACTCTGAAGGCGCATCACCTTCTTTGGGGTAAATCCACCCCTAAGATCCTTCCAGGAGCAACAGCTCAATGTATGTGAGTAGCATAGACAGCTCTTGGCCTGGAGCAATCTCAGGCCAAGAAATACTTTCTGCAAAGTGAAGGCTTTTTTGGAGTGGAGAGGAGGGAAGTGGTTGGGCTGTGGCTTCTTCAGCCCTTCAAGACAAGAGAGGGAAGCAGTAGGCAAAAGCCAGGGTCATCTTTACAAAGTGCACCTCTCTCTTATTCACTTACCATTTCCCCCCTACTATTCTTTGGACAACAGATGAGACGGGTTCCATTCTCCTGCTTCCCACTCCAACAGTCCCTATCCCAAGGGAAAAAATATCCCCTCAGACCACAGATCAATTCTGGTCCGGGAGAGAGGTGAACAAAACCAAAGGAAATATAAATATTTTCGTATCTAGATTATGTCCATAAAACTGGCAAGTTGTCTTGGACAAAGTAAATACTTCTTAGCTTAGTGACTGTTAATTAAAGAGGAATGCTTTACACCTTATAAGAATTAACTCTTGTTCTCAAAAATGTGTTTGTTTCCTCTAATTAATTTGTCATTGTGCTAGGGAAGCATCTTTCCATTAATATTTCAGCACAATAATCAGTTGAAAAAATTGAACTGGATTTAGTGTAACAACATTTTTCCACAATGTCCGGAGACTCTGACGATTGCAATAATCTAGAAGCAAGACCTCTTTTTCTCCTCTCTTACATTGCTTTAGACTTACAGCTATCATAGAACTAGAAAAAAAATAGAAATAAAGAAGAGTATTGCAGGGAAAGATGGGGAGGAGGTAATTGAAAAAAAAATGCGTTTCTGATGTGCGAAACGTAGATAAAGACTTCTGATGAGAAAGAGGGGAGTGCCTGATGAGGAAGAGGGGAGAGTGTGTTGAGAGATAACAAGAACCAGTAATTTCTATTCAGCGAAGCCACCAAATCAGAGAGCAGTGCTGATCTTATTGGAGGAGAGCCTTCAACAGCAACTAATCCTGTCATATTGAAAGAAAATTGTAAATGTTCTCTGCAGAAATTGCCTGCCCATTGCAGCTAATCGAGCCCACTTCGCGCTCACACACGCCACACACCCCCTCACACCGCCACACACTCCCTCACACCCCCACAGGCGGGCAGCAAGCGGACCCGCAGCCACAGCACCCCAGCAAGGACATTCGCCCGAGATGCTCACCTAGGCATTCCACTTCCCTCGCTCGCCACCACCTCAACGAAGGTGGCAGCTTGCCCCCATTTCCTCAGGAGCTCTGGGGGAAGTATGAATTATTACCAGCTCACTTGAGAGTCCCGGCTTCACCTGTTTTTAATTACTTCAGTTTTGTCCAAACCTTTAAGCCAGGTTTGATAGCACTAGTGCACTATATTTTTTTTTTCCCTAAGGCTCAGCTTGGCTGAACTGAAGCAGAGACTCCCAAGGGTCGGAGTCATCGAGGGTGTGCGTGTCTATGTGTGTGCCTGTGGGTGTGGGAGGCAGAGAGGGAGCGAGGGAGAGACAAAAACTCCATCAGCCCGGACAATGCCACCTCTTGTTTAAAGCTTCCAAACTGTTATTCTTTCCCCCCATTATCACGGTACCAAGTAATCTGTCTTTCCCCCACTCCAACCCCCCTCCCTCCTCTTGGAAGATATGGAAGAGGAAGATAAAGCGGCTGGCTGCGGGCGCTGACGCCGCGCAGCCCGCATGCCTCTGCCGCCACAGCCGGGGCTGCGGAGCGAGCCGCTTGCAGCGGGATGGGATGCAACTTCTGCTAATTGGATCACAGGTAGGAAAGCTTTGGTTTTTACTGACGTTTCCTCTTTCTGTGTGTCTCTCTCGCGCTTTTTTTTCCCCCCCTTTTCCCTTCCATCTATTTTTTTTCGTCTTTTGTTTTTTTCTTTCCTTTTATTTCACGTCCTCTACCCTCCGCCCCTTCCTCGCCGCACATAAAATTTCATCCGCTGCTGTCATAGGAAAGCTCCCGCCAAGGAAATAATGTCTAAGAAACAAGCTTTTGCTTCCTGGTAGAAGAAGCAGAACAGACCACAGGGAAACTTTTGCTGAATGGGTCCACAGCTGTGCGGGTCACTGGGGAAGGGCAGAGAGAGCAGAGAAAGCAAAGCGATTGCCCCCAGCACAGAGCCCTTCTCTGTCGTGTTACAGTTGCGATATTAATCCCAGAACCGAGTCTCTAACGTGGTATAGCGGGGAAGGAGAGACACAGCAGCCTGATTAGAGAAATCCTGACATTTTTCAAGCGCTGTCCACAGGGGTTTTTTTTTATTATAAATGCTACATTCCGACACAGAGACATCTCCTGGACTACCCTTACCAAATTCCGCTGTGACATGTTTGTTGACGACTCCTGCAAAATGTCACCGGGAGCGGAGATGTCCCCGGGGAGCGGAGCCCGCCCGTGGAGCGCGCTGGCTGCAGGGCGAGCAGGCAGGGACGGGGTGGGTGGTATCCCTGCCCCGCCGGGGACCAGGAGAGGTGCAGGGTATATGGAGAGGAGGTTGCTGCTGTGTCGGTGCGGTACGTCGCCCCCCCAGAATCCCTTCTCTGCCCGGGATCAGCGCCTGTTTCCTTTGCCTCAGGTCTCATGTCCTGCCGCGGGGGGGGAGAGCGCTGGCTGGAGGCGCCGCCAGAGGTGGGAAGGGAATGGGGTTTCCCCGGCTCATTTCCGGCCCCGCTTCCCCGGATCCTTCCCCCTGGGGTCCGGTCCACGGACCAAGAAGTAGGCTGCTGCGGGAGAGGATGCTCCAGGGCCGGGTGCGACTCACCCCTCTGCCCCGATCCTGTTGAGACCCCGGCAGGGCTGTGTCTGTCCCGGCTGTGCCTCCGGGCTCTCTTCCCTTTCTCCCGTGCCGCCGCCACGGGGTGTTTGTGGCCTGAAGGAGCGAGCTGATACTTTGAGAGGGAGCTCAGATCAAGTTGTGGGAGAAAAATTGCTTCCCAGAAACAGCTCTGGCACACCGAGGTCCTGGTGCAGCCCCAGAGTACGGCTGCATCGGGGGTTCTGAAAGAGTAAAGTGCTTTCTGCTTCTTGTCGGGCAAAAGTCTATCCTGGCCATCCCTCCGGCTAGAGCCACTCTTCACTGCGAGCCTTCCCGACACTCCGTGCCCCGTGCCATGCTCGGAGGGTTCCCCGCACCAGCCCGAGCTCCAGGGTGATGAGGGAGCAGGCAGACTGGGAGCTGCAGGGCTGGCTTTGCTCCTTTGATCGTCTCCCCGCGAGGCAGCCGGGCAGCAGGGCTCTGATCAGAGGCGCTCCAGGAGGATGGCTGTGCCCGCTGCCAACTCCGAGGGGAGGTTGTTAGGGTTTGTGACTCATTCCCACTGGTCTGTGGGTGAGTCCTTACCCCTTCTCTTGGTAAAGGACGAGGGATGCTTTCTCTCACCCTTGTAAGATCGTTTTTTCGTACTATTTACATTTGCTAAATTTCCTTTTAGGGCAAGGAGAGACAGCTTTTTTCCAACTGGCAAAGGACACTGGGAAAGGGGTAATTCTTGTTACAGATCTAGCCCGAATAACATCTGTCCCCATTTTTATGTGTCAACCAGTGTGTTTGCACACACTGGCTTGTCCTTGTCCCTTAAGGAAGATCTTCTCTTTGCAGAAGAGAAAAAGGCAAAAAAAAGGCGTCTAACTTCTGCTTGACAGTCCGCCTTTTGCAGATTTTGGGGGGAAATACCAAATCTTCAAACAAACAAAAAGACCAACAATAAGGAAGGTTAATACGGGAGATCACAAGTATGCATGCTGTCTGCTTTTATGGTATTGCATCACTTGCAATCACAGCCCCTGTCTAAATACACACCAGCCTTGATTGTATGGTTTATGACACCAGCCGCTCTCGGTGACTCATCTGTAAACCTCTTTAAGCTACACACAGTACACTCCCTCTCTCCTTTAGGATCTTTGTGAGTGTAAGTTTGGTTGAACTTCTTCCCTGCAGGATCCCTGGACTGCAAAACCAGCCCTGTTTGCCTTTTTATTAGGACAGTGAGAAGTGTAGAGGGCTCACTGACTTGATGAGCATGTGCCCCACTGAGCTGCCCTCTCTGCCCCTGCCCACAGCAGGCTGTGATTTCTGCATTGCAGTGTGCTCGAGAATGAGACACGGTATATGGGGAGGGGGAGGTCTAGGACATCCTCGAGTTGCTTTGGATGTAGAGCAAAATTATAAAAAGGAGAGGTCATGCTTTTCTTCCATCCAAGCCCAAGATTTTAAGGGGTATTCTCTCCCCAAAAGGTTTTAACTCCGCATTTGGGCAGAGCCCAGGGAGATCTGGACCATGTGTGATCGAGAATGTCCTCAGGAGGTGGAAGGAACAGCAATCTAGCCATGCTCTGTTATTGCCCAGGATGGAGACCAAGACACAGAAAGGGGGAAACAGAAGCCATCAATTAAAAAAAGCGTTTATGAACAAAACTATTTTTTTCCTGAGTGTTCAGCACAGTGTCCAACTTCATTTTGGTTGTCACCTCTGGGCTGACTCCCTGCATGTGTTTCACGGTTCTCAGCTACTCAAAATGCTCGGCTCCTTAAGCCCATTGGGTGTCTCATTCAATAGTCTTTTGAAGACATCTACCATGAAATCCCCCACTGCTGTTAATAAACTCCCAGGAGGTTACTCTGCCCCGCTTCACTCCTATAACTCACTCACCCATTCACCCAGACTTTCTTCTCCACTAATATTATGACCTACATGCAAAAGACTTATTTTCTGGTCCTGTTTCCATAGCAATGCAGCATGGGGAACGCCGACAAGCCAGTAATAACGAAGCAGATTCTCCTTCTGTGAAATCAAGACCTCTCTGAAAGTTGAGTTCAACGTAAGGGGAAAGTAGGGATCCGCGGAGAGCTGGATTTCGAGCCCGAAGTCCAGATCTCCGCGCCCTCTAGTGCCAGAGGCAGGCGCGGAAGAGCATCCCCGGGCACAGGGGACGTCTTCATAGCAAAGTACAGGAGAGGGAGAAAAGCAAGTGGTATGAGATAAGACCATTCCTCCCAATGTCTGTTTCCAGCCAGATCTTCCCTCTTCTAAATCCCAAGCTGAAAAAAAAATATATATATATATATATATAAATAAAAGGCGGGTGGGGTTCACCTGATCTTGGTTTGGTCACCCAGAGATCAAAGCTTATAGAGGAATGAGTAGGCAGAAATTAGAGCTGGAAAGCCAAGACTATATTTGGCCATTTATTCAGAAATTTTGGATCTCTCTGGCTTTGAGCTTCACAGCTTGAAGCAACTTTCAGCTAATTCTGAGAGATTCAAAGGCATAGGAGAGGATTACTCACTTGTGAAACTGCTTTTCTGACCTTCCACAGACTCTTTAGGTGGGTGGATGGGTTAGACAACAGTAATCAGGCTAAGGAAAGCTGATGGAGCTTAGATCTAGCTCATATGAATGACAGGAATAACTTTTTCACAAACACTTGTAGCCTTAAATCTTAAAAAAGCTTAAATTGTGTGTTGGTATTTAATATATGGTAACATTAATTTGTACGGCAGCTTTTAAAGCCCTGTTAAACACATCTTAGAGGTTCTCATCTCTAAGATCCAGGCTGCACAAAGAACCAAACACTGAGAACTCCTGTAGCTAAAAGAGACAATTGGCACACTCCCCACACACTACCCTACCCACCTTTTCCAGTTGCTATCTTTTGGCAAAGATAGCTTTCAGTTTTGCCAAGGTCTTCACAGTTTTTCCCAGGTCAGAGCTACCCAAAAGATACCATTACCTACTCTCTTGTCCATATCCCACCAGCTGACTGCACACCACTTTTGTCCAGCAGATTGCATTCCCTAGCTCTCTTTATGAAATCGAGTAGGGATCTCTTGATGACTTATCCCACTGCCTTCCTGCATTTCCCTGATTGCAGTGGGCAGAATTAAAAGTCAAGACCACCTCTGAAGTTGCATTAAAGGGTTGTCTCCTTTCCCCATGGACCCTGAGCTTGTTCCTATGTAAAAAATGCTTTAGGCTCTGGAGCTGCATGTTGTTTTGGACTGTCTGTCCTACCTTTAAAGCTATATTGTTACCTATATCTAACACCGCCTATTCCCCATAGAGGGGTATATGTATCAGCAGGTGTTCCAAAGAGACATCTCTTGTATAACATAATTTTAAGGCCCAAGAAGATAGGACAGGGTGAAGTGAGTTTCATCTCATTTCCATCAAGCACTTCCTAAAGAATGTTTGCCAGTGAGACTAAGATATTCAATAGGATTTCAGTAGTCCATGTGCTTCATGGATTCGTTTTTAGGAATATGATAAGGAAATGAAACAGACCCTCATTTAGGTCCAGCTGCTTTGCTCAGTCTTCTGCATGTTTTCTTTCTGATGAGATGATTCTCTGATTCCCATCGTTCCTGTATCTCTTTTGACTCCACGGGTTAGATTCTGATCTTAATTACCTTCTTTCAAATCAGGGGTGCCTCCACTGATTTTAATTGCGTCTGGTTTATTCTAGTGCAATTGAGCTCAGAATTTGACTTTCACAGAAACATAGTAAGTGTTGTAATTAGAATATGCCAGTGTTTTGACAACTGTTCATGGAACAGCTCTGTTTCATCAGACTCTGTTGAAAAGGAAATAAAATGTGATAATGGGCACTGGGAAGAGTACGGGCACCTCTCACAGTGATGGCAACAAAGATTTCTGAGAGTGGCCACAACACAAATAGGCAAGAAATTCTGTAAATCAGCATTTCTCAGGGTTTCCTCAAGCTCTTAGAAAAGCTCTGAGTAAACTGTGGGCAGGTGTGGGTTTTCT